AGCTCATGGGGTGTGAATACTTTTGTAAGGCACCACATGAAACTGGAAGAGTGTCACTGTGCTGTTCCTAAAATAGCCAATTATATGTCTTAAACCATCAAGTTCAACCAGAGCTTAATGTTGTGTCCTGTACCTCGATTTCCACAGTAGGAGTGACTTCCTCCTCATCTTTTGGGTAGGGGATCTCCAGCACTGAGTTGATCTCTGAAGGCTCCAGAGGACGGGCTATTGAGCGCCCATCTGGCCAGTACACTTCAACATTTGTGGCCACATCCCTACCTGTTTAAGTAAAAAAAAAAAATGATTTCAGGTAAATATGATGCACACACAGAAAGAGGTTATGTGAGCTCAGCGAATCTATAGAGCAACAATTTACTGCATGTGTTGACAGTCGTGACTCTTCCATCTTTGTCTCCTTTTAGGGGACTTCGTTGCACTCTCTTCTCATCATTAACTGTTTTAATCAGGCACAGAGAAAGCTCATCTCCCGGGAGCCTCTGTGGATCTTAATTAAAGTAGCATTTTTAATGTAAACAGATCTTCAGTAACCCTGCCAGACAGGTGCACTGCCAGGGAGCCAGAGACTATTTCACCTGTTCTGAACCGAGATGACAACCTCTCACGGTGCTGCAGGGTGTATCACGTATAACTCCCTGAAAGTCTGGAGGTCCTTTCTAAAGTTACAACGTTTTGGAAAGTTTGCTGCTGCAGAGTGTAACGTGAAGGCCACAGGAGCCGACCTTTTCTTTGCAAGCCCTGGTGCAGAACTGAGAGAGACCAGAGAGCTCAAAGGATTAAAAACATGCTTTCCATACTTTTTTTTTTCTTTCCCTCTGTTAGTATCTAATCTTGGAATAATTTAGAAAATGAAGTATGTTATTTTAGAGCATGTCAAATAAAAAAGGGCTGTTAATACAGTGCAAAATTTACTAGTTGCAGCCTCACAGAGGAGCAGATTTAGCCGGCTGAAGGGCTGCCTGGTGCTTTAAATGTGATCTTACCAAGACCAAAGTGAGCGACAGGTTCCATCTCACACAGATACCCCGAGCCCCCATCAATAATCCGTGTGTGTGGGCCACTTTTCTTTGTGTAGACAACCACTTTAGCTCCTCGGGCAAAAGCTCCAAACTTGGTTCGGGGAATCACTCGGAGCCATGAGTTAGTGAGGCCCTGACACATGATGATGAGGAGGAGGAGGAAGAGGAGAAAGAGATGGGTCAGGGAAGGATGACTTATGCTTGACCACCCTACAGAATATAAAATGCTATTTAAGACCAGCACACTCACCTGATTGACTCTGTAGACAGAGAGCGGCTGTGCTGCGCTTTCGCCATGAGACACCACCAGTTCCAGACGGCCGTCACCATCAATATCTGTGGCTATGGCTCCTGTAGGCCCATCACAATAAACACTCCAGGAAGCAGGCTTTACAACAATTACTATCCTCATCAACAAAGATATGCACATAACTCAAGAATAATGCCGGTGACACATTTTCGGAACATTTTCAAAAGTGGAGCATTGGTGTCATCTAGTGGTTAGATGTGGTACTACCACATGAAACTTTCAGATTTTCTTGATGTGTTCATTCTGTCTGTAACATTTGCGCTTACAGTTAATGTAACAAAATATTTTTTTTCCCCTTTCACAACTTCAACAAAAAATATCTTAATCAGATTTAATTTTCTGTTTTATTAGACTTGATAGGCAGGTCTACAGACAATAACAGGGTTGTGCAAATAAAGGTTATTGATTGTTTTGACAAGATTACCAGTTCCTCGTCCATCAGGCTCTGCGGCCTCACCAATGTTCAACTCTTCTATCTGGGGGTCCGCATGTTCTCTCCTGCTCACCCTACGAAGGCACAACATTACCTTCACATTTCTGCACAGCATCAAAGCATTACCACTAAAACATAGAAAAACTAAAAATTAATTTACATCCACTTATTTTATTTCACTCGACGGCACACTGCAGAGAGATGTTTATTTACCTTTAGTTTATTTGTTCCAGAAGAAATATCAAGTAATAACCAAAAACACTGAACTCTGCAGCATTTATAGGCTGTGCTAATAAGTTATACCTTTCCCAAGCTGGTCTTTTGGTTGCATAAAATCAAAAAGAACATTATAAAACTTTATAATACAAACACAGAGCTGAGAATAGATCATATCCTCGACTAGAGACTAGGACCAGACAACACGATGTAAAGTAATTACATCAAAAGATGTTGCCTTGAAATAAGGAGTCTCTGTATTTGGCCTTTCTTAACAAACTGTTTCAGTTCTACTCCCAAAATATGCAGACATGGTTTAAGGCCTGGATTTGGCCTGTGAAATTGAATTCAGCAATCTAAGCATCGTAGATTAATTCCCTGTTACTACGGATTTAATAAGGGAGGCAATTACTTTTTCTAATAGTCACAGGTTGATTCGGATACCTTATGCACTGAATGAATAAAATTATCATTTGAAAACGACTTTTTTGTTTACTCAGTTTATCTTTGTCCAATATTTAAATTTGTTTGATGATCTGAAACATCCAAATGTGACGAAACAGAAGAGGCAAGTACTTTTTCACAGCACATGATGTCCACTTTATTGGACAGTTCAATTTCTTTTGATTATAAATCCAAGACTTAAAAATGTTACTAATAATTTTTGTCTATGGTTATCAATTGGTTTTGGACGTATGTTGCTCAGTGGCAGAGTAATTTTCTTGCATTTGGAAAGCTGACAGTTTCCTCCAGTTGTGTGCCCAACGTGCTCACCAATCTGTGCAAATTGGTGAATGGATCTGTAGTGTAAAGTGGCTTAAGTGGTCAGCATAACTCGAAAGGTTATATATAAGTTGAGTCCAATTACCGTCTCTGAGTGCTGTTTTTCTGCATTTGAAGTTTTCTGTTAACTTACATATTGGTGGTTATGAACAGTGACACACTACAAACTAGCAAAGCGTGCTGTATGCAAGGATACCATCAATAACCACACACATCCAGAACAAATGGCTGAATAGCTGACCACCATGCATGAAAGTGTTAGAGTTCCACATTTATAATGATTCGATATCTTAGAGCCACTAATGTAGTGATTTTAGCTGCTATAGCACTAACATCAGCTTGATATTGATTTGGCGTACTGGATTAATTAGCTTGTTCAAGCATGTTTTTATTTATTTATTTTTTCTGTGCCAAAGAGGAGAAAAAATAAGCTTGTTCATCTCCACAGAAGACAATGGCTGAGCCACTGGCTGAGAAGTAGTGACCTCTTTCAGACCAGAAAGATAGATTTTTCTTGGGTGACCTGGCGTGGAGAAATATTCTGATCCGGGAGATCTCTGGAGAACAGACTGATTACTGATATTCTGTGTGAACTGAAATTTGAATCCTGTTCAGAAAACTTTGCCAAATCAGATTTTACTCAGAGAGGAAAGGGTTCATTTTGCTATCAGTCAACCAATCACACGTTTTGCACATTTTGAGCACTGAGTTAATTAATATTATCTAGAGAGGAAACCAAACCATGAACAAAGAAAGATCTTAAAACTGTCTTAATGAAAGAATCATTCATGTGTGAAGAAGGAAGAGGCGGGACGCCAGACTAGATAACTATCCTTTTCCTGGAAATTTAAATTCCCTGCAGCTTTCAAGCATAACATTTGAATATTAAATCAAGACACAAGAGCATTTTATTAACCTCCTCATCAAAGTGCTCATAAATCTCATATTTGCAGTGCAAACACCTAAGAGTGTTTGGGTTTCACTCACTGTCAGTACCTAAAGAGTCTGTTGGCTGAGGGTCCCCTGTAGGCGATGTTATTGAAGAACACCTCCAACTCGTTGTCATTATCAAAGTCAGCAACAATGACTGTCCGCACCGGAGATGGCATGGAAAACTTCTGGGAGGCAATGTCCTGAGGAAAAGGGGAACAGGAGAGAAAACAAGTGCCATTTTTCTATTGAGTAGGTGTATTCATTCATCTTCTCATCATTTGTATTTATCTAATACTGCTCACATGTAAGCTCTTGCTTCGAGTTTGAATAATCCTCTCCAAATGTTTATTCGCTTTGAGAAAAAAAAAAATAAATTATCTGTGATGCAACACGTGTACTTTTTTTTGCATAAACAATCACTGTCAGTGATGGATTATTGCTTTAAAGAGCAGAGCACAAAATAATAACACAAATATATTGTTGATATGAGAAAATGGCAGCTTGACAGAGCTGAGTGCTTGTCTGTAAACAGAAATAGCTGCTTAAGTGCAACAGAAGTATGACAGTGTCTTGTTATAAGCCGATACTTTTTACAGGATTTCAGAATTCCAGATTTTTCCAGTTGACATTTCCAGATATCTCATTCCATTTTCTGACCAGTTTGGACATGGCAGTACAGCTAAGGTAATGTTGCTGACTTTTCCGTGTTGTTTCGGTTTTGTTCGGAGTTTCCGCCGTGTCATATTCTGCTAATCTGGTTTCTCTTGCATGTTGAGTCATATTCACATACTGTTTTATAAAACAGTATAGATATAGAGCAGTAGATATATCCATAAGCCACTTTATAGACCAATTTATCACATTTTGTCTTATTTTTCTTTTTACCTCTGTGTTTAGATACATCCCATTTAGGTTAAGGCGTACCTGATGCATCTAGTATTCTTTTGCCATTTTGAGCCCATGGCTCCCTCAGTTATGCTTCTCCCCATACCACAGCAGTAATGGTTATGGGGAAACAGATGAAAAAAGTATTTCTTAGTCCTTTTCAGACATTGGGGCACACAGGTTAGACGCCTCCCCTCTACTCCACTTCCTAAAGAAAAGTTTCTGCAGTAGTTGAGTTCTTGCATGAGGAAGTAACAGATATGTCCTCGCTTCAGTGAGCTGGTGATAAGTCTTGAAAGAGTTATAGAGCGGCCCTTCACTCCTCCCAGTATTTACTCCCTGTTTTAATTATAAGGCTCATAAAGCTGCAGAGGTAGGGGCCGCCCACATTGACCTTCTCCTGCTCAGGTGAAGGAGAGGGGATTGCTGTCTGAGGCGCTAAGGGAACAACTACATTCACTGTGTCACTTGCTTAAGTGCAGAGACAAAAAATCTGAGCGAATAAACATAACATTAACATTTTGAGTTGAAAATCGGATCCATCACGACATGGAGCAAGTGTGCGTGTTGAAGTTAGTACACATTTTAATTCACTTAATTATTTATTATTTTTACTTTTAGATCAAATCCACTGCAATTAATCGCCATCAAAAAAAGAGGAATATGTGCCAAGAGGCCGGCGGCAGATCATTTCACTCTCAGCATTTTGTCAGATGAGAGTGAAATTAAATATTAAGTACAGACACTTTTGCCCACATGCAAAACAGTATCGGTCTACAAACCATGCCCTGTGTGAAAAATGGTAGTGGCAGCATCATGCTATGGGGATGGATTTTTTTTTTTTTTTTTTTCGGTAAAGAGGATGTGGGAAGTGGTTGGAGCAGATAGGATGATGGAGGGAGCTGTAAGCATACCTCAACCTGTTTTATCTATTTATGGTAAGATTTTTCTGATTACAGATGCTCTCCGTCCAGTCTGACTGATGATGACCTAACTATGGACAAGAATCGATAAACTTTCTGTTTCTGCAAACTGTTAAATCAGGATCTGGATACAAATGGACAACACACTTTTCAGATTTTTACTTGGGGAAAAAAATTGGACTATGCACTATTTTCTTGACACTTTCCACAATTATGTACACATTTTTGTTATCTGTCAGATAAATATCCCTACAAACTACACTGATGTTTCCCAATGACAAAATGTGGAAAAAAATGGGATATGAATGCTTCTAAGATAAAGTACTTTTATTTTTGTTCTGTGGTGATTGAGGAAAAAGCCGTAATAAAATAAGTGATAATTGATCATAATTATATGTAATAAATCAAATTCCTTACAAATCTCCTCACAAAAAGCTTTTTTTATCAAAATACCTTATTTGCAACAACAGAATCTCACTTTAAGTGCATTTTCAATAAACAAGAAAAATTGTATAACTTCTGCTAAGGCCATCTTCCAAATATATAAATTGATTTTATGTATTGGATGTGTGGGCGTGTGTGTATATATATATGCAGGTACCCAACCTACTGTAAAGAGTAACCTATCTAACAGATTTTAATTAAACATCAAATGGCCCAATCTGCACTTTCCATTACCAAGGCAAAGCTGCTGGCTCAGCCCGATTTAAGTGTTGGTTTATTGAAGTGATACAACAGCTTCATTATTCAAACCAAAGGTCAATATTGGATAATATGGAAAAGTCTCAGCTTTTCTGGTGTCTGAATATGTTGTTGGCTTGAGATTTAACTTGTTGTCAAACAGGAAAACACTATGCCCTAATTTTGTTTGTCTTATCCGTAAGAGTGTGGAAGAGTTGAGACGTGTGTGTTGGTATGATTGAGTAGTCTTGGGGCTAAGTATCACACATTAACCCCATACTTGACCCATATAAAAATGGCTCCTGTGACGTTTATCTCCCGTGTAAAGGATGTGGGGGCAGGCAGTGAGAGGTAGATCACCGAGCACGAAGGGAAGGGTCTGCAGATTCACACCCAGCGCAGCTCATTCCTCTGTGTCTGCAGCCGAGTGACATAAAGACCCCAAACGGCACATGTACGACGCTGGTCATTGATGGAGTAAATCACAGGAGCCTTTGAATACCACTTAAACCCAAACTGAAGCTCCATGAGAGGTGCTAATGCATTAGCCCATTGTTAGCACTAACAAGAACACATTCACTGTGATAACAGTTTAGATTTGCTGATTTTATCCTGGTTTCTCATTAGACATTGATTTTGATCAGAGGACAACAAATGGAGACTAACAACCTGAGATGTGAAATGTGTTTTTTGATTGTGGGAATCACTGATCGAGATTTTATCATGCTCAAAGACAACATGATAAAATATGTTGTCTGGATTATGCACAGAGCTGCCAGTGAGTTTTAAATTGGTACTTAATTATGGAGTAAATTCCATAAAGTTACTCCATAATTAAGTAATTACAAAATCGTTATTACTTATAACAGTTTTGCATTTATTATTGGCCTATTTTCTATATTCTTCACTGGTCAGGTTCTCCTAATGGTACCAGATTGCAGTTTTATATCTATCAATAAAAAACATATTCTGTGTGAGAAACAAAACTGTAAGATGTTTTTAGTTTAGAAAATAATTATAAATTAATAATTTAAAAAAAATCTTTTTTGTATTTTCTAAATGATGTGCATGTATGTGTGAACCTTTGGATCATGAGCCATTCAAATGTCGTTTGTTTTGTGGAACCACATACAGGATTTTTATTTTTTTTTCTAAGACATCATTTCACCTTAAATTTCTGCTTGCGGTTGTTTAGCTGTATGTACAGGCGGTGAGGTCCATTCCAGTTCCCGTACACGATGTCAGTCCTGCCGTCGCGGTTAAAATCTGCCAGTGCCACCCCTCTGCCATGCTGCATGGGGTCCTCCACTCCTGGAAGTACATACCGAAAGGTTCTTTCATACTCTAAAGCCTAGACGTGTTTAGTTTCTTCAAAATGTACACTGCATGTCCCTTACCGGCCTGCTGCGCAACATCAGTAAAAGTTCCATCGCCGTTGTTTCTGAACAGGAAGTTGGATCCGTACTCATTGTCGCAGAAGATATCAGATAGAGTTTGACTAACAATTGGCCCCACCACCACGCCTCTCCCCCCTGTGCAGATGGATACGGCGAGAGAAGGTCCCTCAGTAAGACAAAATAAGGCAGCTAGTTAAACAGAGAAGAAGTTTTTTGAAAGAGAAAAAAAGAATGAAACCGGGAAGGTGAAATACTGTACTGAACAACAGGAGAGAGATCGACTCCATAACAGAAGGGAATTATAAGAGATCATTAGTGTCTTTTCGGTCCATTTGCTTCGAACTGTGTAGGGCTTTTTTTTGCTGACACAGACTCCAATTCTGATGGCTACAAACACAGGTAAATAACTACAAGGGAAGTACAAGTGCAAACAAATACAGCGGACTAGTGATACAACACATACTGAGATGTTTTGCATTAACCAAAGACTAGCAGTAATTTAATCACCAAGATGGAAAAAAACAAAAAATCACAGCGAATATCACCCCATGATTTTCCAATGACTTCCTATAAAGTAAAAGCATCTTGCTAGAGAGTTTCATCTCAGACCAGCAGAGTTTAATTATATAGCTGACGGGGCTTTGATTGCCCTTTCTCCGTGCAGAGTCAGTGCTGTGAGTGAGTCAGGCCCTGCGCCTGATTTACTGGCCCGCTTCATCAGCCCGGACAAATATCACTTGCCCCCAACAGCAATAAACCACGAAACGCCTCTCCAGAGATATGTAACCATCAGATATACAACTTCACAGGCTGTCCGTCTGCTCTGATTAACAGCAGTCTGATGACAAAGCCGTCCAGCTAACATCACTCACAGTAACTGTGAACCAGCTCGCTCTGGCCCCCTGGGTGGATCAGATGATGTCCTTCACGTGGGAAAAAAAAAAAAGAAAAAAAAAATGTTCCAGAGATGATAAAGCTTAATTCTGTCGCTCTCAAACACAAAGTCATTGCCCATTTTCGAAACTCAGTGGAACATCAACATCAAGGACTTTTCAGTGGTTACAATAAAGTTTCATTAACAGGTGATCTCACTCTTGGTTATGAGGAAACAAATCATACTTAGGTTGGGCCTTTCTGGCATTTACTGCTCCACTTTTCTATACATCACTGGCTGTACAGCGAGCTTGAATTGAGTCACAGAGATGAGGGAGTTCTGGCTTTAGAGCTCTAAAATGAAAGAACAGACGGCTGGCAAAAGTGTTGAACTCATTTGAACAGTTTTAAAGAAAATGCAGAAATAAATTCAGGAAAACAAAATATCTATTAAAGGAAAAAGTATTCATAAAACCACAGATTTGTAACTAAAATAAAAAATACTTCAAAAGACCAACATCAAAAGAACACAAAGCCTATGCTAAGAAGTTTAACTGGATATAAATTGGATTTAGCTCTTTGAACTATTCAGGCCTTTTCAGCATGTTGTGTCTGGTAAACCATTGGAGCCAATTGGCCAGATGTTTTAGATCACCATGCTGCTGAAAGATGCAGGGACAACACATTTTCACTTTTCTGGCACAGGCCGCCATATTTGTATTTAAAATAGTTTTTTACATTTCAAAGGCTTCAGAATGCCATTGGCTCAGACAAGGTGCTGATGGCCCTTGGAAAGAGACACTAGCACACTCCATCACACATTATCCTCCATTAACAGCGGACAAATAGTACTTTTCCAAATATCCACCCTGTGTTTCATGCCAGACCTACATGAAGTATTTGCTTCTAAAACACTCAAGTTTAATTTCATCTGATCGAAGCACATGGCTCAGGTTCCAGTGAGGTTTGGCAGATTCCACGCTTGGTGATCGTATGGACATAAAAAGTTATTTTCTAAAGACTTCTCTTCTGATCATATTGTTGTCAGGGAGCAAGTAGACCTGGTGAGTCCAAGATGCCACTTTTTGCTATTTCTGAAACATTAAGTTTGTATCGTGAAAAGATAACGTTGGCTGATCTTCGGTTGTTTGTCTGAATACCAGTTTTTACCATTTTATTTTTGCCAATACAGGAAGATTTAGGCAGTTAGCTATTTTCATGTGGACATTTTCAAAATTAGGAAAAACGACACACGTCTCCATAGCTTGAAGGGTATTTTCTTCAAGTTACACCTATAAATACATTGAGAATGTTATTATTTATTGGCAGCTGATTTGGTATAATCTCTTGCCTTCCAGTGAATGCTCTACTAACGTCTTTGTGAAAACACAATAGAACCGAAAGACGTTCTCATTTACTCCCTTCTTTCTTTTCTCCTTCTCTGGAGAACCTAGCTCTATTGCTCATATTTGACGCCAAACAATCCACCTTTACGGACTTTTTTGTCGTAGAATCCACTGCAACAAAAGGCAGATTCCTTACGACAGATGTCAGCATTGATAACACTTTAAGGGCAGGTAGCGCAAACAAATCATCAAGACCTATTGCACAGTCTCCATAAGCTCTTGACACCTACCAATTAGTTTGTTAACTCCAGCTTGCTCTGCAACATTGGAGAGGGCAATGACTCCCTCGGAGAGGTCACTGGCTACCTCGTCCATCTCTATGAGAGCGTGAGGTCCCACGTTTCCACTGGCGTAGTTGGCGATATAGATAGCATAGCGGCCGGTACCCTGCAGAAAAAAACACGTGCCGTTTTCATTAAATTACATCTGTTGACATTTTAAAGCACAAACTCAGACATGTGAGAAAACAGCTCGGCCGTTTGACCTTTCTGGGAGCTTGAGAGGTAACATTTATTGCCGCCACTTAACTCGAACATATGAACCAGATACTTGTGATTAAATAAAAATTACTCTGGAAGTAAGGCTAAGTGGTTGAAGATCAAAAGGTCAAGCATGGAAATGACATTTCTATTTTAACATGTTTATTAGCAAAGGTAACCTTTCCTATCTCTTGTTTCTCTGTTTTGCTTCTCTGAATTGACATTGCAGCAATGATTGTTGCAGAATTCAGTTTACAGTGGAAAAAGGTCAGTATGAGTTAAAAAAAAAAAAAAAAGGCTCAGATTTCAGTCCAGAAACAGACCTGGGGCTTAAAAACCTTTTCTCATCTGAATGTTCTGACTTTTAAACAACCATGCCTCTGTGATGTTTCCCATTGATTGATAATGCAGTGTAAATCTATGTGGAATTGGGAATTGCTTCTATATGGCACATCATAGTTATTCTCTAAAGCGTACGTTGCTCTTTTTTTCACAATATTGCTGTAAATGAGCTCAAATTGAAGAAAAAAAAATGACTCCCTGTTGGCAAGAGTGATTAATAAAAGCTACAAAATGCATAATTAACTTCTATGCTTGACTATTGTAAAGTTTCATTGCCAGGAAAAGCGTTCAGCTGGTCTAAAATGCTGCGGTAACAGTTCTGATGAAGAAGAAGAAGGAGAAAAAAGAAAGTTTTAGCTTTGCTTTTTTTTGGTCTCCTGCAGAATGCAGAAAAAAATGTAAAATTTTATATTCAATATTGGATTGCTCATTGTGTCACTGGCTCCCTAAGAACTTTCCACTTAACCTGCAGCTTTACTTTTGGTTGCAAGAATATTTTAAGGTAAAATGGAGACTCGCTTTCTGTGAGGCAGACCAGCAGCTGCCTGAGAATTTGGTGCTGCATTAACTTCAGGTAAAAATCTAAACGGTTGCGCATAGTCTGACTGAAGCCGAACTAAGGTCAGGTGTCTTTGGGACGTTCATTTTCCCACGCACCCTTCAAGGTCCACAAGAGTCGAGTTCCTGTGAAAACCCTTCTGAATCAGTTTACCTCATGGTGTTTTGACATGAGTGAGGTTTACAAAAGTATAGCAAACCCAGCTAACATGGAACAATTCTTACAAGTTCATAAGTTGGGAGGAGGAGGAGGAGGAGGAGGAAATGATGACTGACGAGTTGCAACATCACATTTTACTTTCAATGTTATCAGAAAGAAAAAAAAAAACACAAAGCGTCGGTGGGACATTTCTCACTGCAGCAGAGCAGAACTGAGCAGGTTTTAATGTTTTAGTCCAACAGTTGTACTTCCTGTTGGCACAACTGATCCTCAAAACTATCCACGCTGCTCACTGGCTGAAAGACTGGTTTCTGGAAGATGAGCAGTTTGGGATCGTTTTCCACGTACACAAACATTCCCGTGAAATTCTGACCAATCGTACAACGGTTTTGCATGCAGAGGGGCGCTAAAGTTTCGCCGTGGGGGTTTTGACAACAAGGGGTGGAGAACAAAATGAAGTGATTCTCAACACGCAACAGTGACAATGAGAACCAATTTTATCAGTCTGGCTTGACAACGCAGAGACCTCAACTAAAACAGGGTGAAATAAGTGAGATGTTTGTTGATTTAAACTAAAAAGAGAGAAGGAACTTTTCTCCATTTAAATGACTTTTTTATATATATTCTGCACCTATTAAGCACCTTTTTCCTCATCAAACCTTCTCTGTTCTCCCTTCATCTCCATTCACCCTGCTTTTTACCCCTTGTCCCCTCTTACTCAGCCTGGCACTTCTTGCTCTGCCTCCCTTTGGAGATTAATTTCACACTCCATTATCAGTCAGAGTCCCTGCAGACACAAACTCACAGACGGAACCACACTAATAGACTATACACTCGATTTAAATGAGCTTTCCCACCAGGCCTAACGCGTTTCCATCAATACGAATGCATGCACGTATGCAAGGCCACACAAATAAAAGCCATCTGACCATTTTTGCGCACCCTACTGTATTCCTACGTGGAAAGTAAGGTAAACAAGTCGGGCTGATGTAAATGCCACTTTACCGTGCACAATATGATGAGCCGTTTCACAGAAGTACACACACATAAAGGAAAAACGGAAAAAAAAAAAAAAAACAGTTAAGTGTAATGAAAAACCTGAAGGCTAGTGGTTGTTACTTAACAAAGTTAAAAGTCAATGATTTTTCAATAAGTCTTCACCCTAGGCTAATTCTTGTCACTGAGACTGGCAGTCACGACAGCTTCTCATATGTTCCAGCACTAAAGCTGCATGTGTTAATAATCAAAGCCTTTAAAGAAAAGAATGAATGACTTAGCACATGCAATACCATTTTTTTTTTTGTTTTTTTTATCAACAGAAACTGTTTGTCATTCGTCTCAAAATTTGCCGTCACTGTAAAAAATAAATCTCTTATTTGAGCTTGTAAAGTCCACTTATTTTCTCCGGGTCCTGCTCAAAGTGGGCCGATCCATCAGCCCCGTGTGAGACGCCTCAATATGTCAGTCTCATCAGTTCTTTTAGGAATAATAATGGGACGTCAGCTTCAAGGAGACCTGGAGAGACGGGATGGCCCGATGACAAATGCTCTTCGTCTGCTACAAGATAACATTTTATTTATGGGTAAACAAGATCAAGCACATTAACCACTCGGCCGACAACGCAGCACACTTTGGCTCCTCTCTGCAGTCGCTCCGAACACGTTCCAATAAAACACGCTCAGCAAAAAGGAACGCTCGGATCTGCTCGAACTGGCATGCAAGAGCGCGCATCATTGCTTTTGGCTTCTCCTAAAAGAACTATGCTATTAAAGAAGATATCTTTCCGATCTACTTGGCACCTGCACCTCCTATCAGTGCTCAGTGAGATGGGACTGTTAAAAAAAAAAAAAGAAAGAAAAAACTATTGTAATCCCTGCTATCCTCTTTCGCCTATTACTATCTTTATCCCATCCTCTTATTAGAAGGGAGAGCTGTGTGTGTTTGTGTGCGAGATAAGAGACAAAGACAGAGCATGTCCGTCAGAGCAGGGGGGAAAAATTGTAAGTGAGAGAAGGATAAAAACAAAAGAAATGAAAGGAAGGAGGACACAGCTACAGGCAGGAAGCAGAAGCGTGCAGTCATCACTCCCTTCCTCTCTTTGTAGGATGCGTTCTGTAAAACAAACGAGCCTTTGCTTCTGTAATTACACTGGTGCGATGGACAGAGGAGAGAAAATAGCGCACCATTCGCCCAAATGAACTGTCAGAGCACATGCTGAGAAGGGCGGCGTAGGCAGGGCATGACTTATCACTGGTAAACAAACAGAAGCAACCGTGCATGTACGTAGAAGACACTACTAGCTGGAGTGGGTGTGTGCGGGGAGGGGGGAAGCAGACTTCATACTGTACTCTGGTCTGTATGCGTGCATATGTGTGTGTGTGTGTGTGTGTGAAGTACCTTTCTGTCTATGCAGGCCACAGAGCGCCCGGCCATGGGGTTGGCCACGTCCCGGTGCTCGTTTATATCGTCGTTCAGCAGGTCCTCGAAGCGACCGTTGCGAAACTTGAACAGTTTGTCTGAGTAGGTCGCCCGACCTTCGTGTAGGTGTGAGGAGGTAAAAAATAATAAAAAAAAAAAAGACGGTAAGTTTACGTGAGGTAAAGAGGCAATTTATGAAGAATGACAAATCCAAGTGATAGAAAAGGAAATGTAGAGTTGCCGTGGTAGAAATGTGAACATTGAGTTTTCAGAAAAATGACAACGGGGCGGTGCTGCAGTGTTAACAGCGCGCTCACTGCAGCCCTCTCTATGATTTATCGCTGCACAAAAGCTTATCTGTTATCTGACGAGGACTCAGATGAGATAAGTTCGGTTACTGCTTTCAGATTCTCCTCCTTGGATACAGTGTGCAGACCGTGTGCCTTTGTAATAGCCTGTACTGTACCGGAGAAGGCATTGTTGGTGTTGAGGACATAAATCTCCTCCCGTCCATCTCCGTCTATGTCGCACGCTGTCACTCCTATGGCATTGCCTTGACGATCCCTGAGCGCATAGAACGGGGAGCTCGGGTCGTCTACGGCGATGTTGACAAGCCCTTTTCTCTGTTTATCGTACTTCAGCACCAGGTTTGGACCGTTGTATCTGTGAACATGTGGAAACAAAGTGATTCTCTATTTATAAATCGGAGCTAATCATGTGGACTGAAAGCATGCTCACCAAATTACCCGCTTATTTGATTTCTTTTTTATTATCTGAGCCAGTTCATTTGTGTATTTCTTTATTAGGGGATATGCTGTACCCAGTCAAATAACAATAAGTCAAAAAATAAATAAATAAATAAATAAACAAACAAACAAACAAAAAAATAATAATTTTCTGATTTTAATGCAGATGGGCACCTGGTAGCAACTATCTTTAAAGTCATCTTCAGAGACCTCTCGGCCACATAAAAAAAAAAAAAATCCTTTTAATCCAACATGTTCTTCCAGAAAGTTAGTGTTCCTAACGTACAATTCAAATGGAGCGGGTTGCTCTCAGGTGCTCACCTGTACTAAAGTCAGAATTTTTAGAAAAATGTCAGAATTATTTTTTTTCTTCCATAGATTAAGATCAGGATTTTTCTTTTTCTTCTTCTTTTTTTTAATGTATTCCATTGGCCCAAATCCTCTTCTGTACTAGATTGAAAACTTGTAAAAATAAAAAGTGGATACTTAACTAGGTAACACCTTTACGTCGGATTTCATACAGAGTTTTACAACATGCTACCTAAGAAAACATATTACTAAATTTGAACCAAATCAGGGTTCGGGATTCCTCTCGTAAAAGATCAGCATATTGTTGCATCAGCTCATATTCAGTTGCATGGTAAATTGTGAAGGAGATAGGTAAATATGTTACTCAAATGTTTTATTCTGTATTTTATTTTGTAATCACATAGGTTGTATACCTTAAAAAGTGACCAATATTCATTTCCAACTGAAAGGCATTAAGCTTCAAAATTATTTGTTAGTTTTGTACAAGCATAGTTTTTTGAACATCTGGAATACTTCTTTGGAAGTTTTTTTTTTTTTTTTAATTAAATACTTATCTCTGTCTGTCAGATTGGTTTGTTACATCAAATTTACCAACAGCCAAAAGTAATGAACCAGCCGGGCAAATTTTGTTCCCATCTGCTGTTCAGAACAGGACTTGCCTTCAAATTGAGCTTCAAAAGGAGCGTGGACAACAATAAAGAAACCAACCTGAAAATCATGAAATCATAAAACAACGATTTCATGAACGACTAAAAAAAAAAAAAAAAACCTGACAGCATAAGAAGTTGATAAGCGCCTCATAAATAACAGTCTGGGACGTTTGCTTTATCATTTCCAGCATGAGTCACATGAAATATATTTAGGTTCCAGACATCCTTGTGTGAGATTAAAAATGCCTAAAGTGATCATTGTTATGATTACTGGAGGTCAGCAACACAGGTGCAATATAAACTATATGGAAGCTATTCAAGCAAAGATTCTCCTAATGGCAAATGAAATTACATCCTCTAGAAGGCTGTGGGATGATCCTCTTCCTGGGATACCTGCTGAATAGGTTGTTTTGGCTAAATTACATTTAGTAAGCACCCTCATTTGGGCTTATCTATATTCTGTTAAGCATTGAGAATCTCATTGCTGCTTCATTGGATAGTGAGAGGCTTGCAAAGCTATTCCCATCAGTGGCATTCTATTCAATCACATCCATTTTCATCAGTTGAGTGAGCTTCAGGGCACCTTAATGTCCCCTCTTCTAGTTTTTCACCTTTGTTTTAAAGGTTTACCTTTGGAAAGTGACAGTGGCTTTTGGTTTTAGTCTTCAGTGCTACACAGCACTCTAAGCAGTTGCTGTTTTTAAGAATATGTGGGTCACCTAAAACATCGGATCAAGGTCAAGAAGCCAGTGAATTAAAAGAGAAACACTCCTCTCACCCAGCCACAAATATCTCCAGGTCTCCGTCGCCGTCCACGTCAGTGACAGCCATGCCGTAGTTGAGCTGGCTGGGGTTGTTTTCGTAGTCCGGACGGAGAACGGTCTTGGTTACAGCAGAGAACACGGGCTCCGACCGCTGAGCCGAGGAGTGGGCGTGCAGGAAGAACAGCAGGCACAGCAGCATCTTCACCTGAAGAGTAAAACACACCATTTGCCCCTGCAAAAACCGGATTGACTCTTTATTTTGTCCATCAAAATCCGTCGGCTGTGATGTTTGAATAATCAAAAATAGCTTACTCACCTTTCACCTGCTCACACAATCGTTCTGTTAGTTGAAAATGCAAAGTCTAAAAACTTATTGTGATCGGTGAGTACTTAGTTTTGTTAAGACGTACAGAAAATGGTCAATCTCCGAGTCAGCCGCATTCTGCAGGTCTAAGATCTGAACAACCCATCACATGTGGACAGGACAGAAAATCCATACATGAATCGAACATTCTGGTGAGCAAAGAGGAAACCAATATGACCTGATACACCAGGCATAAGGTGCTGCTCACTCAGACTTGTGTTTATCTTTGAGTGGGGATGAAAGGTTCGGATTGAAAACAGTTTGGTGTGTAAAAGCATTCAGGCATGGGATTTTGGAAAAATATAGAAGGAATGTAATTACTGAGAAAGAAAAAAAAGGCAGGTCACCTTCTCATAGCCAAAATAAACTTTACACACGCCTCATTTACACACACAAACACACACACACACACACACGCACTAAAAGGTGTTTACAAGCTGAAGATTTGATTTTCTCTTTTCATGGATTTATGAACTCATCCCTCGTCATTCCTTCTGTGACACCGATGAGTCGCTCCCTCCTCCGCTTCCCGACTGCTGCATATTCTTTCCCTCAGCTCTGAGTGTTCCAGTGATGTATGGCTCTTTAACGTCTCCTTCAACAATTCAATTTGAGATAAAACTATTGCGCTGTTTGCGTAATGCTCTGCAGTAAGTCGAGGAGGCACCTCAGCTGACACCTACAGAAATACAGCTGGGTACCGCCGCTAATTTGCAGGCAAGCTGTGCTGCGATAATGCACACTGGTTATCTGGCAGAAATGTAGACAGTGGCTGTTAGCAGGAAGGGTTAATTAACAGCAGTGTCTCCCTATTAGAGCAGGGTGAAATGACAAATGAGCTGGCTAGTTCAGGAAGCAGTTTTGCAGAATGAGAAATTTACCCCAATGTGAGATAGAAGAGCTAACGTATAAATTACTAAGAGTAAAGACTTGTGAGAAGTAAAAAAAAAAAAAAGAGGATTGTTGAGAAAAGTGAAAAAGCAGAATTGTGCTGCAGACTATTTGACAGTTAAAATCTCCAGGAGCTTTTTTTTTTTTTTTTTTTTTTTTACACGGTTAAATCTTTCCTGAGTGTCGGAAAATGGATCCACGGCGCCTCCTTGAATTCTTCAGGCTACTTTAAGTTTATATGTAATCAAAGTCCAGTTCTTAACACGTCTCTATGGGTGTGTCCAAATTAAGGAGTTGCATCCTTCCAATGACCTGGCCTGGACGGTCTAGCTTTCAGATTTAAACATGCCCTTACCTCAGTGTATGTCCTTCCACCTAACATGGCAGCTCTAAACACAAGCTGGTAAAAATCGAGCCCAAAATCTTGCATCTTTAGTTACTAATTTATTTCTTTTTAATTTTTTATTTATTTTTTTACAAAAATGTTGTTAGAAAACATGTCCGTGCAAGTGACAAAAGCACAGCCACTTTAAGCTTTTAACTTCCGTACTGCCAAATTTTAATAGAGCTTTATTTAAAACTGTACTCCTCTCCCACTTTAACTCCTGTTTCATCTGCTTTTGTACCAAAAACAAAAATCTGTCTTTCAGCCCTCAATACATCTTGGGTTGGGATGGACTGCAAAGGACACACCAGACCTTCCCTTCGAATTCGGACAGCCTTCATCACATCACTGTCACGTAACTGGTCATCAAATGCGGCCTTAGAAAGATGCAGTTACTGAATTAGGACACATGGCATGATAATTAGCTGACATCAATTTAGCCCCGCCCAAAAAGAACAAGAGATGACATGATTTTCTGTCACACAGTTCCTTTGACTCTGTTAATTATGACAGCTTCAAACTTTATCTGATAACAGGTAAAGAGTCGATGGTTCCAAATTCAGATCTTGTTGGCTAAATTGCAGAGCATCTTTTGACTATCAAGTTAGCATGACTTCCAGAAGCAATGTTTGATTTCAAACACATTTGATCTAGCTCATGTCAGACCTTAGCTAAAAGTGACAGGAAGTCACATTCCAGGGTTCTGAACAGTGTCACCTACTGGCTATGTGGACATATTGCGAGCCACTGCGTAATTGCCTGTGTTGCAGCCAAATACCGTACTGTAAAAGAGTAAACATGCAGACCAAATTTTGTGTACAGTATTTACTGACCAGGGATGTCCTGGGCATCCTTGTTCCAAGTAAATCAAATCACTTCCAAAGAGAAATATTCAAAGGAGATTTTGAAGGGACCTAAAGTAGCTGCTGTCCAAAAACCAACATACATCATCTTTGTTAATCCATTAGGTGTTTGGAAGCTACATGCTAACCAGTATTTGGAATAAGGGTGCCAAAAATCTTTGGCAATGGTGTTTAAAACAAACATGAGACAGTATTATGAGTGCTTCTTTGTCTTGCATGCAAGTGTGTGAAAGTCTTTCATTGTTCTTATGCAAGTGCATCAGATAAATGGTGATTTTTTTTTTTTGACTTTTGCTGAGAACCCTGCAAATCAATGGGTGAACTTTTGATATTATGCATGTTTGAGTCAAGAAGGGTGAATGGCTTCATTCCCATGGTACATTTTTAGTTAAGTATCTGCCCAAAAACTCTGTTATAGAGCCTCTATAATTCAGACTTAAAAAAAATGCTGGCTGAAACCACAGGGGCCTTTTTGATTTGATTAAGCCATGAGGTATTACATTATCCAGCCAAGGACATAGAATCGCTTTGCCCAACATTCAGTGCAGTAAAGACCTAGACATCCCACTCAAGTGAAGCTGTGATGGATCCACAAAACATTTCATGTACGCGTTGAGGTTTTTACGGTGAGATATCTGCAGGGTCAACAATAATAATGGGAAGCAACACATTTGTTCCAAACCAGTCAAATACCATACAAAAGCGCTGGGAAAAAAAACAAAAAAAAAAAAAACAATGCTGTTTGAAGCCGAGTGATGTTTTTCCATTAGATTATTTATACGAGCGGTAAGAGGCCATTACCACAGCGTGCAACATCAGCATGTGCTTTCTGGAGCGTTCCTGCCCAGCTCTGATCCTGATAACACTGCGACAAAAGAGCCAGCAACATCTTCACTTTCAAACACACTCTTCCAGATGCTCTTCCCTTATGAAGGACAATCCTTACTGCAGAACACACACACACACACACACACACACACACACACACACACACACACACTATACTACATCAAAACCAGTGATTTGCTCTTATTTTAGCAGGTAACACTGCACTTATATTCAGTTTGTCTATTATTTATCACAGTGGGAACAGGATGGAACTTCTTAAACTTCCCATTGAAACAAAGACACAAGGCACACTACTTTAAGATTACATTTTTGAAAACTTTAGCAAATAATTTTTTGATATTAAATGAGTTTAGAAAATGTGAATTATTTAGTGATTTGTTCATAACTCCCTCTGTCTATCTAATATATATACATATACAATTACTAGTTCATATATCAATTAATTCTCGATTTATAAGAAACAACCACAAAGTATGGTTATTTTTTGTTAGTTTTCACAGTAAGAAAACTAACAAAAGATGCCACTTCTGCAAACATAACTCTGATAATTCTAAATAATAATAATAATAATAATAATAATAATAATAATAATAAAACAAGTCCATCTATCTACTATCTAGCTACCTATCTGAGCTTCTAACTACAAATTTTTGTCAAAAATAATTTTCCTTAATAAAGGAATAACAATAATCAGGAGAAGTAAGCAAGAAAATCTTCTTGAAATACAACTGCTGCAATCATTACTCTTCTGTCAAATTTACTCTCTTTCCATCAGCATTTTAAAGGTGTGCAGCGCCACTTCATCCGTGTCCATTACCGCCACTGCAGGTGGTTAATTAAAGCATGTTTCCTTTGTTAGCAAGCGACTTAATCAAGGTTAACTGTTTGCTTTGAGGAGAGTCGGAGGGGGGAACGCAGAAAAAAGTTACGGTCAAATTGAAAGCAACTTTGTTATGTCGCTGCAGCACAATCCAGCCGAGCGCTGCTTGTTTCTGAAGCCGGAGTAAGGTGGGCAAACTCAGGTACTCACAGATGCAGAGAGGCGCTCCGAAAACTCCCAACAAATCCTGCAGCGATTGACAGCCAGAGGACAACGGGGAGAAACGCAAACCCAGAGTATAAAGGTTGGCTAATTGGAGCTGTTGATACCGCGGACATCAGAAGAGTTTGTTTTTTTTTCCTACACACACACGCATACACATACACACACGCTTTCACACAACTTCCCACGAAAAATTGCTTTATGAAATCGTTGGTGAGAGAGTTTGGCCAATAGCCTGAGAGCTTGCAGAATATGTAAAGACACAGCCAATGACGGAGCTGGAAAAGCGAGAGGTGGGCGTGTCTTCAGGTGTTCATTACAGATGGAGCCGGGGGCGCAGCTGGGATGGAGATGCGGAGTTCAGCCTCTTCACTCGGATGCTTCAGATCCTGCTCCATCTGCTTATGGGCGAAAGGCTCTTAGATGTCCTGGGATGTCTACCAACCTTTGTTCTGTAATTTTTCATATGTAGCAATAGACTCGATCAGATGAACGACTTTTCATAAACTCAAGCACAAAATATCGACTCTTAAGTGAAGATTCTTAAAATTCTCTGACAAAATCTCACACTGTCACACCTATTTTCAAAAGTACTCAAACCACTTGGACTTTTTCATATTTGGTGACGTTACAATCAGAAATATCTATGTATTTTATATATTTAA